AATATCTTGATGCGGCTAATACCAATTCTAGCTGTTTTGCCAGGTTCGCCGAAAATATGACTGCCGAGAGGTTTTGACATCAGTCTTGGATAAGCTGGACAATGGAGGAAAAAGTGATTGCTTATTATCATCTCACCTACTTCCATACAGCTTTGGCAATTTGCGTCTGAAAAGATATCTAAATTCAACACATGTACGCCTATTGGACACTGCCCAGTAAGAACTTCTGCGAATGCGGCAAGATGAATCTTACTGAGAGCAAGTAATACAGTGGATCGATCTCTTGCGTTCTTCACTATGCTAGACGGATCTTACGTGAAGTCCAGGCACCCTAACGAGTTAGATGAAGAAGTAGCTTGATGCTATTGAACGCTGCTGTCAGTGTGAATGCTCACCTCCCTGAAAGAGGCTGCAATGCGGAGCCATACGTTTACTGCTGTCTTCATAGCAACCGCTTCGGCTATGCTTGAGAGAAAGCACTTCACAAAAAACTCTCCCTCCAAACTTCCCTCTAAGCTTCGACCAATCCGTGAAAACGCTCTTTGCACCCCTTCTCCTGCGACTACGCCCCATTCACATATACCTCGTCAATATGTGAAAAATAAAAAGTTACCAGGAGTAGATTTTGTGATAGAATCTAAGAAAAAAGAACCTAAAAGAGTGTATAAGGGCCGATATTTTCTCAGTTGATATGCAGTTATGGTAACTAGCGTGTCAGCCTGAAAAATACGCGAGACTAAGGAATGTTTTTAGTTGCTAACAGCTGCAAAAGGCGCTATCATATCAGCAAATCTTACTGTCAAGCCTCAGCTTTTGATTGTTAAGTACAGCTTTACCTGGTGACAATAACCTGAAAGTCATTTATCATTTTATCATGTTAGAATAAAAAGTCACTACAACAAAAGTATTTAGGAAAGATCTTTAAAATTAATGTTAGACTGGAGCATAAACGTAGACTTACTGTCAACAAGTGCTACCTTGACTTGAGTTTATTTTATAATCGGCGAAAATTCTATAAGCGTTCGGAAGGAGAGATATGTACCAATAGATTTTTAATGAAATTTCGAGATAGTTTAGGGGATTAAATAACAGAAATTGCCGAAGGGAATGCATTCAAGAGTACGACAAAACTTTCACTGAGTAGTCCAATGCGCAATCCGAAATGACTCTATGAAAACTCTGTCGAGATTAAACATTTTCTGATAATTATTTTAGAAGTTATATATTATCTACTGAACTGAATCAACTAGATGACGATCAACAAAACTGATAGGATTTTTTATAGTATCTGAAAAAAATTGTGCCGGGTAACGGTACATTATATTAAATTTGAGATAATACGAATAAAAAAAACACCATTGAACCTCTAAGATTAAGTAAAGGGTGTTTTTGTTGGATTTCACGCGACATTTGTTATTTAAATTGTCATTACCATTATCAGCGTTGCTGAAGGTAGGTGAGTAATAAATAGAGATGTTAGTGGTATTGTCACTAAGCTAAATATTTTTAGGTTAGATTAAGTAAAAAGAGATCACACTGCGTATCAAGCACATCTATATATCTGGGTGCAGCAAAATTTAGAGGCGGCTTATACCATGAACAGGATCATGGTTTCTTACGAAGTTAGTAACAACCAGAAGGTTGGTCTATATATATCATTTTTTGAGATATCGATCTGAAATTTTGCACACGTTCCTTTCTCCCCAAAAAGCAGCTTATTTGTCGGAATCACCGTTATTATACCACTATAGCATATAGCTGCCATACAAACTGACCGATTTAAATCAAGTTTTTGTAAATAAAACTTTTATATTTGTAAAGAGTATTATATATAAAAGTTTAATTTAATAATATATTTCAATTTAAATCAAACTAATTTTTTAGGTTAAAATTATATTAAATAATAGTAAAAAATCTGGTAGCAAGAAAACGGCATTTTTCAAGTTTAGTTATTTTTCCAGTTTATTGTTAACTTTAGTTTACACATTATATATTGAATATAGTTTTTATTAAATTTTAGTTATCGAGCAACAAATAAGTTTTTTTTATTGATTTTAATAAAAATTTGAATTTAATTTAAATTAAGTACTTGTAAAATCAATCAAAAAAGTTAAAAATCTATAATTATATACTTTTTTCAATTTGCTTAGATAGTAAAGGCATTGAAAGGCTTATTAACAATATTCTTTAACAGTTTTTTATAGAAAATAATATTTATATTTTTTGCTTAGATAAAACAATTAAAATGTGTAGACTTTTTATAAGATTTTGGCACAGTCATATACATACATTGTTGTAGGTATTGAAACCAGTTCAAAAACCGTGTTGAAGCTGAAGTATTTGCATTAAGAAACCAGTTTTTAGGTAATATCTGAAAACCTGATGCAACTAAATTTCTAGGTTTTAGTTCACCAAACACCAAATAATATAGAATTTTTTAATTGCCAAAAAAAAAGGAGCGAAAATATGAGGATAGATGTATACTCGTAGAGATTATTTAGGGATATATAATCATGCATGTGATTTAATATCGACAATGCAATCGTGGTGGTTCAAAGGAAACATTCTAAAACGGTTTTCTAAATGAATCAGTGTATACGAAAATCGTGTTAGTTCAGCGCTCTCCGTATGTCAATAAAATCTCTTTTATGTTAAGGATTTTTCACGTGTCCATAGGCTGAGTTACGTCAACTTTACTGAAAGATAGCACTTTTAGGCTTATGATATTTCGATGTTTATAACAGCTTAAAACACCGTGTAATATTTTTCCGGCTTGTATGCTGTCGAGTTGACAGTCCAATCCAATAATATTTCAATTATGCAATCCCTACTGACATGTACAGTTTTCGAATACAAAAATTCAAATTTGCTCGTAAAAGTATGCAAATATTTCACCGATTTTGAAAATGTGATTTTAGTGAAAATAATTTATAATTATATTTTAGGGAATATATCGCAGTTATTATTTTGGCATTTATGGGAATTTCTATAAAAAATATTTTCGAATTTGAAAAAATTTTAGATATTTAATTTTTTTGCCATCGAAAACTACATAACAACTCAAAACGTTTGTGAATATATACTCAATGGTCATGTAGAAAGTAAATTCACACATTTGTGTGGCTTAAATTGTTTACATTTTAAGCTAAATTTTTTGCTGATATTAAATATTGTTACGAACAACTTCAAGTTTATGTTCAAATTTTTTGTTTCTAATTTTTAATTGCTCTCCAAACGATTGCTTAACAGGACCAGCCTGCGTAACGCTTTGATTCTTTAATTTTGCTTGCTAAAGCATATTATTGACAGCAACTCTACAAAGTCTCAACTATAACTACAACTATAACAACAACACTACTACATAGTAGAATATGGCAACTACATAGCAACAATACATAGTATATAGCATTTCTATAGCAACAATATATAAATATTTTTTTGTTATATTTTTATAACGCCTTTTAAAAGCTATAAAGCCATCAACTACGCAACAAGCTACATTTCAGCATATTTTTATATTTTTATAGTAAAGTATACGAATATACACATGTGTATAGTATTTAGTAATTTATATATTTATATACAAACATATTTCAGTTGTATTTGAGATCATTGCTTAAAGTTATGTTTTTGTTAACTCCAGCTCGTAATATGGTTCGGATATTTGTAAATTTTTTTAGCGTTTTATTCCTTTAATATTGTAAATATATTATTCAGTTTAGTATTTATCTTATTATAGACTTTTAAATCCCTTTAAAATATATGAATATGTAGTATACTTTATATTTTGTGTATATATTTGTACATATGAATATTGTATGCAGTAGTATAGTAGTATAGATACGTAATTATTTACTTTTTTTATATTTTTTATTCGCCTTAAATATTTAGTAACTTGTGAAGGAGCGCAAGCAATATTTATTTATTTATAAATTTCTTTTTAAATAGGTTTCTTTAATTAGAGAAAGTGTGACATGTTTACGCTTAAGTGTATTCTAGTTAATTTATTTTTTAGGCTATAATTTTGATTAGGTCACCGCTCTAATTTGCTTCAAAATTTATACAGAAGTTTTTCAGAGTTAAAAAATAATTTACCATGTCTGTTTGGCATAATATAAAAATAAAAAAATATAAAAATAAATAAAATAAAAATAAAAATAAAAAAAAATTTGAAGAAAAATATAATATAAAAAAAAAAATTATCAAGAAAAATATAAAATAAAAAAAAAATTAGCAAGAAAAATATAAAATAAAAAAAAAATTATCAAGAAAAAAATAAAATAAAATTATAAAGAAAAAATAATATAAAAAAAATTATAAAGAAAAAAATAATATAAAAAAAATTAAATAAAAAAAAATTTTAATAAAAAAAATTAAAAGAAACAAACATAAATTAATAAAAAAAAAAATTTTTTTTGTACAACTTTTTTTATTTTATGCAAAAATTATACACATGTAATTATATTTTTAACAGTTTTAACTTTGTGTTAGTTTCATTATTAATGTTTTAGTGTAAAAAAATATTTTTTTTATTATTATTATTTTTTTTATATGCATATATTGTATATATGTACATATAGATATATATTTAAATTTACCAAAAAAAGACACATACATAGAATGTTTTTCTAATAACCTAAAGAATCTCTACGTAAGTTTTGAAGCAAATCTTAGTCGCGACCTAATTGGTAGTAGAGTCATTTTTTATTTAAAATCATTTAGTGAAAATTTATAGATTACGATTTGCGATAGAATTTGGCTTGGACAGTAAAAAGTTAAATTTAATTAAGTATCAAGACAGAATGTGTGTGGAAGCTAAATTTATAAAGTACATCTTTATATTCAAACTTTTTTCTTTTATAAAAAAGTAACGCAAGCAGTTGCGACAGGGCAGATATTTATTTGGCGTCAAATTTTATTATTTCGCAACTCACAAACTTTCTACACTTTACAATTCTGCACAAACTGACACTACTTTAAGTCAAAGCTACGTTTCCTACCTTCGACCAATCACACACTTGAAATTCTTTAACTCGTTGCAGACACTTCATCCTCCTGATTACGCACACCCATTAATTCCTGCACGATTTTGTACTCATGACATTGTTCACACACCAAGCGACCATTGGATTTGTTTGAGCGCTGTGTTTTATCATGACAGACGATGTGCACCAGTTTTAGATTTTTCAAGGAGAAAATTTCCAAAAAGTATTCCAACACAGATATGTCAATAACGCGCTTATTGTGTAGCGTGCATTTGCATTGCGGGTGCTCTACTAGATCGCGCACATTCTCAATTAAAGCGGGCAATATGGAACGCGATAACTCGATTTGATGATCTAAATTCCAAACCTGGAAGAGTATTAAATTCTCACGCGATGCATATGGATTGATGGTGTGTTTGAGCGTGCAACAATTGCCGTTATCCGAGTAGCTGCCTTGACAGTAGAAATCGCCCAGTTCAGTGCAGAGCGACACCGACCATTCGTCTAGTATTTTATGGCGCGCCGTATACTCTTTGATGACCTGACGCAGACGTTTATTTGGAAGCATTGCGCTAGCATCTGTTTCATCGTCGAGTTGTTGTTGCAGAATTGCATGCTTTTTCGGACACTTGCGATCGAATAGCATGGAGAAGTAATCACAACCGATTAGCAAATAGCGAAATTGCTCTAGTACAGCATCGATTATGTGGCGTGCTTTTAGATTTTGTCGATACAGTTTATTGCGCGTCAGTTCCTCCTTCGTTTTGTAGTAGTAGCTACGCATACGATCTTGCGCACGACGCGCCATGGCCTCTTCCTTGGAATGGCAACGTTCCTCTTGTCCCTCAAACCATTCGCGGTGTTGTGTACGCAAACTAAGTTCGGTTTTGCCTTGGTATGCCTGTTTGTTGCTATCTAGCGCTTGCTGACGACAAATCTTACGATTTTCATAATCTGTTATCATTTTGCGAAATTGTTCGGGATTTTGTTCAATAAATTCATAAATGATATCGGCAACACGAAGTAAGGGTGAGTTTTGGCGCAATTTTTCGAATTCAAAGTCGGCATCTGAAGGTGGGTTGTGTAGATAAAATTAAGTGCATAAATATTAGTGTATATACGCACCTGTAGTTATAATCTCATCCGGCCCAGCCACAATGAAAAGTGTTTGAGACGCCAATGTTTGAAAGTAATCATCGTCAGATACTTCAAAGCCATCAGTAGAAATATATAACCTTAAGTCTTTAATCTGTAATAACATACACATACACATATGTTTATCGCTGTTACTCCAAGGCAAAACGAAAGTTAAATAGTGTCAAGTGAGCAATTGAAGGACATGACCTACGATTTGTTTGCATTTAAGACCCTGGCCGAGATAAGAACGCCGCCCCACAATGATAACAACACTAAACCGACCATATAGCCAACAAGGTCACAAGGCCATGTGAGCAGCAGCAACAGAATAAGGAACACACCAAATGTGCAAACCAAAATAATAAAGTTTATTGGCCTTGAACGAGTACTGCACAGTGTTGCCAATTGCAGTTACAACACCATAAAGGACATAAGCATTTGAACAACAGTACATACAGTTTACGATTTTCGCAAATAAACAGTCTGACAACCCTACTGGCATACGCTCAAGGATATACGCACAGCTGTCATGAATGAATGTGTGCTTACAGCTAGCGTCCTTCATAGTATACCCACACATTCACGCTTCAATGCATCGAAAGCAGCAACAGGTTGTATTGCTCACAGAGGCACTATCGCTGCTTATTAGTTGTTGTATTCGAATTTTGCGCGCCCGGTTGTGGGTCATGCGCACGACGCCTTGACATTGAATTCCTCAATCGGAAATAAAAAAAAATCACTTTCTTTGTGCACAATATGGCACCCAATATCAAGTTTTGGCATAATATACAACTAAAATTCTTGGAAATAGCTTGCCATTGATTTGCTATATTCACACATATGGCTCCTGGCGCTACAAAATGGCCTAGAACTATCAACTGGCCGTTTTGGCACTGACAATGGCATTGGAAACTGTTTTTTTTGTGGGTGGTGTGGGTGGTTGCAAATACGCTGAGCAATCAGCGTGTATTCAATAAAATCGTACGACGCAATTTATATTAAAACATCAAATATTTATATTTACTCACAGGAAACTTTAGTTTCGCCTTATCCTTTAGCATCTGTAGTGAATTAGCGCCAATGCCGTATTTTTTAGAACGTTCGTTGTCTGTTATTTTGTAGCCTTTAATTGGTGGAGGCACTGTAGTTTGCTTGACACAATTTTCATTGATTCCAATTTTACCACAGACACCGCCATCTTTATTATCTTCCGATTTAGCGCTACGCGTTGTAGGAGCCATTACGTCTTTGAAAAAATTCAGCATACTGAAATTTTAATGCACACACTAAATTAATGAGAATTTTTTAATATAAACGCTGTAATCTGATCTACCTTGCAATTTCCTTACTTGGTGGCTCTTGCCAAAACCGATTGCACTGTCCTCCACGAATACCAATAGCACAATCAATTTGACTTTTTCTCTAAGCTGCTCCACTGAATTTGCGCTTTTTTGACTTGCAATGGAGTTATTCGGTCGTTGTGTATGTCAGATAGAATGAAAAACGTCAAATTTGCGAAATAACACAAAGGAAAATTGTTGCATGCACTGCGCTTGCACTCTCTTTCAACGAAAAAAGTTTGTTTGTTTACATTTTTGTTGTTGCAAAATGCGCTGTTTGGATGTAGGCGTTTTGAGAGAGCGAATATTTGAATAGCAGGGTTGCAGCTGTTAGATATTTTTATAGCAATATTTTGTTTAAAAAAATCCGTTTTTATAATTTCTTGGTTAGAAAAATATACATTGAAATGTAAGGCTTAACGTTAAAATATACATTACTTAATTAAATGCGCTCATCTCATCGGTATACTTTCATATTTGTCGTCGTTCTACAACACTGCAAACACGAAGAAGGTACAAAGAAAAATCTAATAATCAGCTGTTCCCTAATTTGACATTCGCAAATTCATAAATGCGAATACAACCAATTAAAAGATATGCAAAGTGAAATCAAGCGCGCCCAGCGAAAAAATATTTATCTACAATATATTGTGTGAAAGTCTAAAAAAATGACAAAAATATAACATAAATGATTATGCAGCGAGCAATTAGAATAACGGGTAATGCGAAGGAAGTGTAAAATTAACATAAATATCTCGTATAAAGTGTAAAAAGTACGAAGAAATTTAGCAAAGACGTGCCACGCAATCGCGACGGGTGAAGTCATTGCAATCATATATAGTGCTACTTAATCTACAACAAGTATTCAATAACTGAACAGCAATATAAGAAAAGTTACGAAAATTCGATTGATAAAACTATCGCTACCATCAATATTCAATCTGCCATCTGATAAGAAAAATTAAAAATTAAATTGCTAGCAAAACCGCGTTTCGACCGAACAGGTGTATTTTGGGCCGTCAATGGATAATGTTGAATGTGATACATACAACTCAAAACCTGTTTGTAAACGTAGATGTATAAAGAGAAAATTGCAATAATAATTGCAAGTTAAAGACCTTTCTCAGTACTTTCTTATTTGTGTCTGGTATTGCATCTTTCTGGTGTCGTGGCTAAGTAAAAGGGAACAGTGTTGAACTGTTTTGCAATAAACAAATTTATGATTTCTTGTTTGTTTACCCACTTAAGAGATAACATCTGTTAGATTGTAAAGTTTGTGATTTATTATGAAATTTGAAAATTGTTCAGTTTGAAGTTGTAACATATTAACTCACAACGTGGATTCTAATAGCTCTACACAAATAAATAAAATTTTGTAATTAGCAAAACAAAAATTAAATATTGTACAAATCTAAAAAGCCGATAAGTTGTTGAAATCAATTTCTACATACATACATATGTATGCAAAAATAATTGTGTATCATGCCAGCTGATCAAATTTGAACCGGAGTGACAGAAAAAAGTACTTTTTAAATTTATATATTAAACTTTATTAACACCATAATTTGTATCCATTTTTAAAAGCCACGGCTGGGAAACCTGCAGCAAATTTTGTTTTTTTCAGTTTCGGCTCATTTTTTGATCCGCCATTCGCTTCACACAAACATAAAAATGGCTGTACCAATTTTTTTTTTTGATTCGGTTTGCTCGTGCAGTTTAAATGGATCGGTCCGCGTTAATAGCTCTGTTTGTTTACAAAGTTTAAATTTCTGATTTATAAGACTAAGTTCACATATTTATTTACAAATTTTTCGATTTCGAATCTGTAGTGTTTTAAAATTAGTAACTGACATAAGCTAAATTTTCGAATTTGATCTCTGATCATTGCCAAGTAACTATTGCTTTTGGTAAATTTGTTATTAGATTAAATTGCTTCCTTAAATGATTATAAGTCATAGCTTTAGCAATTTCCTGATTCAATACTATACATAAAATACTGTCTCTTATTAAAGTAGTATTTAGAAATAAACATTAAAAAAGCATTAAAAATAATAAATTTCCATTAAGTTTATAACTAAATAAATTAACTAAAGTGAATTTAACTGTTGACTGACATTCAAGCGGACAAAATAGAAAAAACGAAGTGAGAAAACAAAAGAGCATCGTCGAGGCTGACATCAGCAGCCTCCAGCTCATCAATGCCACCACTTGTGCGCGCTCCAAATAATAGAAATACAACAGCAAGCTAGCAATTGTCATAAATTGCAAAAGCAAATAAAATATATAGCAAGGCAATAAGCGCGACCATGCTGAGCATTGCTGATGCATATTTAAATTACTAACGCGGGCAATTAAAAGCAGAACAACTGGGTTGCGCGGAAAGCGGCAGCAACCAATCAACGGCAAAAAGTGATGAAGCATTGAGCGACGACACCGGCAGCAGCAGCAGTAAAACGGCAAATGTTGGCAGTGCGAATTAGTCAACGAACTATGGTGATGTTAAAAATATACGCGCACTCTAGAAATACGGCAATAAACAGAAAAAGTGAAATAGCTAAAAGCGTAACAAACGCTCAGAATTAACATAACAACTTGTCTGTGGAAATACCAAAACAACGTAAAGTCAATTGGATTAAAAATTGTAACATGCTCTCCAAATAGCCAAACAAATAAACGACGCGTGTGCCCGAGAACAGACCACACGACGACCAAAATACCGCTCTCTGCCTTTTATTATACAATATTTCAAATTAAATCAACGCTCTCTGCCTCCAGCTCACTATTTTTGGTATTTTTGTATAATACGGCGCATACTTTATTGTTGCTGTTGTTTTTCTTGCGTTTTCACACACTTTTTGTGCGTTCTGTGCATGATCTAACACATTGCCATGGTGGCCGATAGCGAATTACAGCTACGCGATTTCGATGGCGAAACCGAAGACTCTGACTCCGAGACTGAATTGCTCATACGCCACAGTGGACGCAGTGGTGCGCGGCAACCAGCTAAACGCGGCAGCATTGCCACCTCACGCTACTATCTCCATGATTACTCAACTACACAGCCGACGGCGGCAACGTCGTCGTCATCGTCGTTGTCGGCTACCAACATAGCGACGGGCTTCTTTAGCAATTTGTTTGGCAACACAACGAACAGTCTTGGCCGCGCTGCCGGGCAAGTACGTCTCAGAAATGAACGTAGTCGCGAGCGCGATAAATACGCCGCCTCGAGAGCAAGAACGCAACAATTACAAGAGCAACAACAACAATACCAGCAACAGCAAGCTAGAACAACGGCACTTAGTTTTGGCGGTTTCAATACGGGATTGGGCACGTCTGCGAAACTGGCGAAATTGGCGCAGACAACGCAAACGTCGTATCGCGGCGGTGGTGGCGGCGGTGCGACGAGCGGTGTTGACGTGGCGGCACACGGTGTCACCGAGTCTGTAGCGCTAGGCGTACGTAGTAGTAGCCAAAGTGGTGCACATAAACGTTATGATGCGACGGGCGCCACAAGTGCGACGAGTGAAAGTGCCAGCGGGGGTGGCGGTATGGGTGGTGGCGCGGGTGTTGTGCTACAACAGACAGTATTGGATGCTGAGAACGGTTCGACGACCGTCTACTACCAGAAGAATCGGCGACGCAGTAAACGCAAATCGTTGGCGAATCTTTGCAAAATGTGCCTGTGCGGGTGAGTATCTAGCTCTTATGAGTTGCAAAAATATTCAATTTCACATATGAGTGTATGTGTGTGAAAAAAAAGTTGTTTGAAAAAATACAGAAAATCCGGCGTATATTTTTACTTTCCCTTATTTATTTAAGCGTGCGAGAAGTTTCCGACACATACAATCATACATAAATACATAAATGTGTGTGTGCGTATATATGTAAATTTAATACATGTGCGATGCAAATGACCTGGTATTATAATTTTTTATAGCTCATCAAACAAGCTATAAAAATGTCTTAGTGTGTGAGTGCATCGAAAAAAATAACGTAATAATCTTAGTAACAACAATTGTTAACAACGAAAAGCGAGCGTTGCTCATTAGCGCGTTCCAAAATAATGTGAGAATTTGTTGTTAAAAAATTATACAAATAATATTAATAAAAAATTGTGTGCTACTTTTGACTGTTTACATATCTACATAGCAGTAAAAATCAACAAAAAAAACCATGCGCAGAAAAATACACATGTTAAAAAAAAAAAACATTCCTCAAAAAATGTGCTATAATAAATTATTAAAAATCGCGTTGTGTGAATGTGAATAGCGCATATACAGCAAATTGGAAATTTGAAAATTCAGCAAAAATTTCAATGGTGGGAATTATGTTGTCTTTGATTGCAAAATTTGCTGCGCAAGTGATATTTATAATGAAGCTGAAATGAAGAAAAAAAGAAACAAAACAAAAAAGCGCACTGTATTTGTGGGCAGGTCAGCGCAGTCAATTAAATATTACAGTTATATGAAAACAAAAAATGAAAACTATTTAACAGTGTGATATGTAGATACAAAATATGTAAATAAAAAAAAATTAAATCATAATAATAATAAAGTAATTAGAAATAAAAATAGATAGTAATATACAAAAAAAAATGTAAATAAAATATAAAAAGTAATATTAAAAAATAAAATAAAATGAAAAAAACCAATTTCAAAAATTATTTTCTATATTTGAAAACGCCTTTGAAGCTTTTTTTGCTTTTCTAATGAAAGTTCCAATAAATAACTAAATTTATTAGGAAACAATTAAAGTTTGTTTAATAATTATTGAAAACGCATAAATATTCAAATTTTTGTCGTTAGCACACTAACCTAGCTATAATTTTATAACAAATATAAGAAAAATGTATGAAAATTTTAAACCAGCTCATTTCTACAACAATTCACTTTGAACATGCTATAATTTTATAGTAAAATGTTTAATGAACAATTGTTTAAAAGTTTTAGAAATAAAATTTTGTCTGTTTGGAACACTGAGAATAACTTACTATAATTTTATAGCATATAAAATACTATTTAAAATACAAGAAAATTCGTTTGATAAATTAAAACCAATTTGTTTTTATAATAAAATAGTTCGTTTTGAACATGCTATAATTTTATAGTAAAATTGTTAAGCTACTCTTTGTGTGTGTTTATGTGTTTTAAAAACCATATGTATATATAAAAATGTAGGTAAAGTTTGCAGAAATTTTTAATATGAATATTTTTCAAAACAAATAACCAAATATTATATACAATACAATAACATTAATAGTATTTGTATCACCACTTAAATTAAAGCAAGCTGAAATTAGACCAAATTTTAAATTAGTTATTAAAGTTTGTTAAAAAGTAATGAAAATGTAAAAAATTTAAATTGTTTACAGTTAACAACTTACTATAATTTTATAGCAAATGAAAAACTGCTTAAAATAACAGAAACATGTATGACACTTTTAAACTTTCGCATTTTTGCAACAATATTATACACTTTGAACGCGCTATAATTTTATAGCAACATTTTTTAAGCGCAAAATGATAAAGAGTGTTCAAAAACGCATAAAACATTTATTATTATTTAATTTTTTATTTTGCTAAAATTTTATAGCAAACATATTTAAATACAAAATTTTATAAATGTAAAAATGTGTTCAAAATTACATAAAACGCATATAAGCGGTAATTAAATTTAATTAGATATTGTAATTCGAGATTACTTAAAACAAACTATATTGATAATTTTACCTTAAACTAAGGAGCAATAATAACTAAACTCAAAAAAAAAATCTTGGAAAAATTTTTAAATCATGTTCGCCGTGCTTCAAATAAATAGATTTCCATACAACCCGAGTAAGTAATTATTTTTAGCATAAAATAATTCTTTATCATTATAAACTGTCACTAAGTGCTGCTGGCAGAGTTTGCGAATGCGTGCAGCTTTGGTTTATGGCCGTCGGAGACAAAATTCTATTTGCTTTGAAATTACGCTAATATTTTTCGTTTATTTGGTTTTGTAATTTGTATGCTGAATGTTTGTTATTTTTAAATACCAACGCAATCTAAGCTCGGCATCTCTATGGCTTGTGTGTGTGTGTGCGTGCGCGTATTAAAATCCAGTTTGGCCTGTTTCGCGTGGCAATGAAATTTTGTTACGTTCGCGTTTTCGGCGTTCTTTCTAATGCCTTTTATGGTATTTGTTGCCATTGTATTTTTTTTTACTTTTAGTTAATTATTTGGATTTCTAAATCTCGATTTTATTGCCAGTTTCAAGGTCAAAGCGGCCTGTACGCAGTGTTGTCAAATGTAGTTTTTTGTACATATATGTGTGTTTATGTTTGTATTTAATACGAATATGGGGTTATCAGAATTTTTTCATAAATTTCATGCTTTCAGCTTTTATAGCTTTTTTTTGGAAACTTTAAACATTAGTTTGCCTCGCAATTTAAGATGATTTAGAGTTATAAAGCATAAAGTAATAATAAAAAAAAATCCCACACGTATTAGAGCAATTTAACCATCAAAAAAAACAAAAAAAACGAAAAACAAATCGCATAACAACAAAAATTAACGCTTGCTAATGTTTCATGCTTTCGTGAGCTTCTCTTTCGCTTGCTTCTTCACTCGCTCTACCACAATTCAAAATTTGTGCCCATTTTCTGTCTACCTTTGTGTGGCACATTCTAATCGCTGGCGCAAATCGTTAAACTATACTTTGTTGTGTTGTTGTTGTTAAGCGTTTCGGTGCTTGAACGTGGCCTAATGGTTCAAGAAAAATACAAAAATAAACAGTAAAACGAAAAAAATAAATTAAATAAAGCAACAACAAATTATCTAAAAAGCTTATTTAAAAAAAAAGTTTGTGCATGTCACCATGCGTACAAATAACATTAGCTTCAACAAAAACAACAGCACACGCACATTACATTCGCATTTCGTATTTGAACCACATTTTTACCCCGCTGTCAAAAAGACTAACTCAGCCCATCGTTCAACTACAGAAGTCGTAGAAACCGAAAAGTGAAGATAAAGAATGTGCTTTGTGCAATAACAAAAACAATATGTGTGTGTATAGAAAAGTTTTGCTAACGTCATTGCGTCTAAAACGCGACTTGTGCAAAGCGTCTATCTCTGAAGCCGGTTGTGTGCTACAGTGGTGTGTATTGCAAAATATTCTATACAAATACTTATAGGTGCACCTTGAAAGTGTTACAAAAGGTTTCAGAGTGAGAGAGACAATTTATAGACTCATAAAAAAGCTTTAGATTCTCAATTGATTCGATCGAACCACTTCATCTATACTTCCTCCCTCCGATGGGTGATATAACGTTCTGTTAGCAAAATTGTCTCTTCTCTCTAGTAGAAAAAGCACTGGAAATAGATTTTGAGAGCCTAGTCTGACTTACGGTGCAACTCCATTTTTAACTTAAGGTGTTATATTGACTTGTGAATTTAAAATACAATATTAAATTTTGTTCCTTATATATATATATTTCAAAATATTTTCCGACACTTTGAAGTTGGCCCGGCAAATATTTGCGAAGATGTCAGCGTATTTGTGGAATTTTTTAACTTACCATAGTGTAGGCGGCTTCCAAAAACTTTAAACGCGTTTTAGAGTCGAAAGCTGTTTTCAGAGTCGGTGAAGAAAATAATTTTTTAAGCCACTATGGAGTGGCATTTTGTGAAAAAATCAAAATTTTGACTAGTCCTTCGAACAGCATCTGTATGTTTTATTTTTACTATAATTTTTTTTTTTTTGTTTTTGGTATTGGATGTTTTAATAGTTTTAAGCAGAAATCCTTCTACAACACTAGACATTTTTTTTGGACGTCCTCTTGGAGATTGATTATCGGATCAAGGAAAGCCAAAATAGATTATTTTGTCAATCATCAGCAGACAGTTCATATAGAAATGTTACCCTAAGCTGTCCGAAAAAAGGAAGATGTTCCTTCAAATGGAATTAAAAAAATTTTGTCAGTCTTCTTAAATCAAATAAGTTTTAGAGTGATATCTCAAAAACTGAGGGTCATGGCTAAATCGACTCAGCTCATCATGCTGATCATTTAAATAATATATACATTTTATAGGGTCTCCGACGTTTCCTTTTGGGTGTTACGACAATACCTTGTTCAGGATATAAAAGTTCCTAGTATTTTAACCTTTTCAACCAATCAATTTCAATTTCAATGAATCAAATCATCAAATGAAGTTTTGAGTTCGCTATAATTTTTTAACAACTTATACAAAGAATAATTTTCAAAAAATTGATATTCTTGTTTTTTTATGGTGAAATGATGAGTAAAAAACTTAATATTTTAATATTTGCTGTTAACTAAAATAGTATTTTTGAAAACATTTTCCAAAAATAATTATTTAACCTTTTTAAGGAATTTATGAGTGAATATATTGAAGTAAAAAGTATATAATTTTCTAAATGTAAATCATTTAATTTGTCGGTCCTCTTAAATAGTTGAAACATAAAATTCATAATATTTACAATATAAATAACACCCCAAAATCAATATTAAGAGTTAGAAAAAAAAGTTATATTGAAAACTTATAACGAAAATTATAAAACTTACAATAAAAAGTATAACAATAAACAATATTATAAAATTAAAAAAAAATTTAATATACAAAAAAAATCATATTTTGCCGGTTCTAACACACTGTGCGCCAGCCTGGATGCCTCACGTCAATGCTA